TTAGGTTCAACTTGCTATATTTCGTTTAAATACTGTGTGATATTTAGCTTTTCAGGACCTCTCCATCGTGACATTTTGTACAGAAATAAGAAAAGAACCGTTACAATAGACCTTTATCTAGTATTACATCAATTTTATCCCAGGAATGTGTGAGCTTTGCTGCACTGCCAGATATGAACTGAACTTTTACTCTATGCTCCAGTCAGAGGATTTTCTGACAATGCACGAGTGCCCATACTCTCAGATGCAAATCAAGATAGATTTGCATTAGGTGTTGTATTCACCTTTGCCAGCAGAATCACTCCCTCCTGAGTTTCCGGATCTGTTTGGATGATAAAGGTAGCACTTTCTTCCAGGTCGTCCTCCAAAGTGTACGTCATCCTCGCGTTGATGCCGGTGTCTCCATCTTCTGCCTTAATTCTGCCCACCGTCGTACCCACAACTGCGTTTTCAGAGATGGCGAAGTTGTATAGATCTAAGAAAAGAAGTGTGTTTTTAAAATAACATCAGCTGACACCTTTAGCCCGAGAGGGTGAAAGTTTGAATATGATATCAAAAGGAATGCAATATCGGAGTCGTGGCAAATTGGCGCTCTTGCACTGCGTAATGACACACTTTGAAGGTAAGCGACGCATAAAAAAAAAAAGTTTCCCCCCTAAAACACTATTTACAGAAGCTGACAGTAAGTTTTTAATCGCTGGTAAAGAGCCTGCCGGTGTGTAAGAAAGCGATAAGAGGGAAAAACATTGTGGCGCGGGGTCAATTTGTGTGAGCCACAGATAAGTTTCGGCAAACCCCCCGTAATCCCCGTCTAACTCTAATAAGGAGATGAGAAAATACGATTGTGTCTTTTAGTGGCGGGGGGGGATTCAACAGGCAATCATCTGCTTCTGCGGGGGAAAAAATTTGAAAAAAATGCTGATAATAATCTGCGATTATATGACAAAGCAGAGGGCGTAGTTCAAAGTGTGGTCATCCAATATTTATAGGGCCTTTTGACTGAACACAGAATCCATGGGATACACTGGAACCTGCAATGAATGTGAATGTGACATTAATAGTAAAAAAAGCTTCATCCTAGCTGTCTTCCTCTCGCTGAATTGATTTCTTCCTAGCGCCTTCGTTTAGTAAAGGTTTATCGCTGAGGAGGCTCGGTTTGTTTCCAAAGGTCATGACAAATGTCCTTTCACGCGTGAATGATTAAATTCATTCAGAATGTGGCACATGTACACGAGCAAAAGCAGACGAAGCCCCATCTCCTCTCCCATCTCTTTTGCTCTTAGTTTCATTCCTTGAATGTCTCCTTTTAATTTTGGCTGAACCGGAGAGGCAGGAGCAAATAAATACCGTGTAGGTATGATATTAAACACGTCCATGAAAGTCTGCAACGCTCTGTACTCCTTCATTGATTCCCAAAGAGCGCGAGGCCCCGTGTTTGCATCTGTGTGAATCGCGGATGACTCACGCTGATGGAAAGTGGGTCCGTTGTCGTTGACGTCGGTCAGGCTGACGGTCACCGTGGTGGAGGAGGAGTAGCCGCCGCTGAGGCCCAGCATGTCCTTCACCTGCACCACCACCAGGTACTCCTCTCTGGCCTCACGGTCCATGTTGGGCCAAGATGTAACGATAAGCCCTGCAAAGGGAAACGTAGGGAGGACATGGACAAAGCAAGAATTAAACTCATTAAAGCTCATTAAAGCAGGATTAAAGCTGGTGGGTGGACCAAAATATGTGGTCAACAGTAAACAGGGATACAGTATCATGCTTAGATACGCTAATAACTGGTTTCTGGACTCGGATTTTAACACATTACCTTTGAACAACAGGATTGCTGTTTAGAAATCGTAGACTTAGACTTAGACTTAGACTTCCTTCATTGTCATTGCACAAAAACACGAGGTGAATTTGACAACGAAATGTCAATTACTTGGCTACCAGTGTAACAGCTAAGACCTTATACCATGCACAATAAATATGTATTGTATTCTATTCTATAACTAAGCGCTAAGCGTAAAGAATTATATTTATACATATATATATTGCACTGACTTTTTAGCAACGAAACATCAATAAATATGTGTGTGTGGGGGGGGTTAGGGTAGTGGAATCAAGTTAATCAGATGTAAAAGAGATAAGAAATTGTATTTTTATTCTTTATTGAAAGTTGATAATATTTTAGATGCAAAATGAAGAATATATTTATGATATGTGACATTTCAAACAATCAGTCGGCTTTCTATTAATAAAATCATCAAGGACGGCTCCATGCGAGTGCCACTGTTTACATCGTGATGCTGATTATACACCTCTCTTTTAACACTGAAAATAAGAGCTTTGGAGGGAGAGCTGCTCCTTCATAAAAGAGTTCAAAGACATCCACAGCTATAGAAGAATGGGCACAAAGCAACTTTGAGGCTGAATATCCAGAATTTGTTGGCATGTTTGGTTCGTTTTGTAAAGGATGACATCATCCAAATGGATGGATGAAAATTCAAAGCTTGCAATTTGAACTTTAGTCAGTAAAGGACGTATTCAGTGCATCTCATATCGCCAAGTAAAAGAGCTAAATAATATTTTTATTATGTGTATCGTGAATCCCAGCTCAGTGAACTGAACAGAAAGATCATCTGAAGTCAGAAGTAAAACTTCAGCTTGTAGCACCGTGGAGTCAACTACTGCCTACTCCGAGATAACTAACAATGGGCTAACCTAAAAAAGTCAAATGTGACCTTTTACATATTGCATCCATCTGCATCTGATTTTTTTTCCACGGCCAGTGGTGCCCCCCTTCAGCTCGGTTCAGTTTAGTGTGTGTGGGCAGAGCTGTGACTGACCTCTCAATTTGAACTCAAGTTAACTCAATTTTCTGTTGTCGAAAACTTACCAAAAAAAAAAAACGAAAACAAGATTTCAATTATGTTTAGAAATGGAAATGCCAAGAAGTTAATTCAGAGTATGAAGAAGTCTGACTTGTTAAAGTGATTGAAGAGACAATGTTTAACCCTATAATGCCAAATGTATCATATTTGATACGTACGGTTTCTGAAATGTTTTGCGTCTGACTCCTTTTGCATAATTTAATGGGAAAAACTTTGTTAAAAACCCTATTGTACACAATCAGATACACCTGATAACAGTAGGCAGAAGACTACACAAAAAATAATTTTGACTTATCGCATAGTAATAAATTATTAATATCAATAATGTATTTCTGTTTTTTATTTTCACATATTTTGTTAAAAGGCAAAAATAAGGAATTCAAACCGAAAAAAAAAGTAATTTTCTGTTTTGTTTTGTTCTTGGATCAGGCTTTAAAGGGTTAAAGAAGTGTTCTCGAGTTGGACAGTTTACGTTTTTTTTTTCGTTTTTTTTCCGTGTCTGTAATGGTAGAACAAATACCTGTCTTGGGCTCCACGGAGAAGTAGGGCTCCCCCTGCAGGATGGAGTAGATGAGCTTGGCGTTGTTTCCGAACATGGGATCGTCCGCATCTGTGGCCGTCACCTGGGCCACCGTGGTCCCTGTGGGGGGG